ACATTTTCCCAAATGATGATCCATCCGTCAAACAACCTTCCTTTGTGTTTTGGAGTCTTCTCTTTTGTCACTTCTTTTCTAAAAGTCTTTAAAGTCTTGTCTCACATTCTACTGTGCTTGCTGAGATGTAGCAAGTCATTTAAAGTAATTAAAAATATGACAATAGTACTATTTATGATTATAAATCAATTCAGTACTTTTTGGCTTATTTTGTAAGACGATTTTGGTTATATTCAATTTTACCGATACAAAAACGTGATAAAATAGTATTTGCCATAAAAAGATTTCGTTTTCTTTAAGTCATAAGCTTTCATCAAATCAAATATAAAAAAAATGCATTAGCTTCGTCAAAAAGCTGGTCAGATTAAATATTTACACTCACTAAAAATAACTCTTTTCCAAGATATTTACCACATCTCTCTTTTGTTCAATGTTAACAACACGTTATAAATGTTTTAACATACGTTATGTGTATATTTAAATGTTAAGTTTATCTTTGTTTGTTTTGGTTATCAACCGTTGGTTGTTAAAATAACTACACATACAAACGAAGAGATGCTTTCCAGAAGGCACAAAAGATCGTTAGGTATCTAATCTAAAAAAAAATGCTTTGTACATACAGGTTAGTAAAAATATTCAGCATGCTAATAAATAAAATGTTTTTACATATTTTTATAAACCGGCAACTTAATCATCAGATAGATCGAACGCGTTATGGTAATCCTGGATCTGGGGACTAGGTAGCATAAGCAGGTATAAACATGGTAACTATGGCAGCATCACTGATAGCTTATCACCAGCTTATATTACGTCAGTACAGTGTTAGTGATAGCAGATTACTAGATTACTGATAAGCCCAAATACAGGAGTGGCATTAGATGGACCGCCATTGATTTTGCTGTTTGGTAAAAGGTCGCGTATTTAGATTTTTTAAGCGCTTATATATCTATGTATTTTCGAAATACAAGAATTTAATTTATAGCTACTTAGATGCTTGTTTAACACATGCTACATTATTTCCTGTTTATGCTTATTCAAAGTAAACCAAACCATCATTTCGTAATTTTGTTTAACCTGCTTATGCGTTATTTAATTATTTCACACCATTTGTTTGGTCAAAGATGTAGATGGGAAACTTTTGAAGATAAACGATTATTTGACCATACCGATTTTATTGCTTGTTTTGGGTGAAAACACTTCCCACTGAAAGAGGTGAAATATCACATAAAATAGTGCTGTCCGTTTTTCAAGCAGCTCCACCTCTTTCAAGTAAGGGTGAGGATTGGTGTTAATTTATCCTTTTCTTAAAATACTGGATACGACTATTGCGTTTTTAGCTATATCGTTTTATTTATTCTTAATCCTATAAGCCTATGGAATATAAAACATTTTATATGTTAAAAGGTATAGATTGTTTTGATGTAGCCTATCCATGCAGTGGTTGAAATTTTATTTCTTGCTCTTAAATATTAGAGAAATATTTTAATAAAACCCCTTGATTCTTTGAAGGTATATTTGAACTGTATACATAACAGAATAATAAATTACTAAGATCTAAACACTAATGAGTTACTCCAATTAATCGGTTACGTATTAGTGAGATTTTTTAATAAAAACTGACACAAATTAAGCATTTTATTTAAAATCTGCAAATAATGTCAGCGTTATCAACTTAAATCAAGGCCTCAACTCCCCTCCTTCATCTCTCTCCCTCTCTAGACCCAATGGTCTGTGTTAAGGGTTGTTTTATCTTATAGAACAAGTTTACGACTGATCCTTTGACAAGGAATCCAATTTCATTATTTTGGCTTCCTAGTTTAAAAGGCACACATTAGTGTTACATGTACAATTGTAATGAAAAATACACAGTCAAAATTTATGCACTTAGTGTTTTCCGATATAATATTGTTCTTTAGGTTCTATGACAAAATGTTCAATATTGAATATTACAATGTTCATCCCACTACAACACTACTATTTAATACACTATTATCTTTCCTGGAATACATGATCTACCAAAAATCATGTTTCGTAAACCATAACATAGTTAAAACATACGAGTATGCTTTATCTATGATTATACACATCGAATCAGACGTATACTAGCGGATCTCGTTGTTACACGTGAAGAAATCATAGCAAAAAAATGTCCTATCTGAAAAATTAAAGACAATTATAATATTTTGCCAATAAAACAACGAGAAAGCCTTCTCAACAAACTTGTAGATGACGATCATTTCTCAGATTAACTCTCTAAGTTTGAGAGTGATTTTGAGTGGAAGATGATAAGTAGTTTTATCAGACAATGATGCCTGTCAGCCTTTATTAATTTCTCTTCTGGCGCCTTGACGGTTCAGTATTTATACGCCCTAGGCACCCCCAACGTCAATAACTTTGAATGTGTAAATATATATCACTACCCTGCTAAAATAAGTTGTCCATAATATAGTATAAACTAATTTAAAATAGTAATTTTTAATTCAGTTACTTAATAAGCGTTCGGAATTGTATAAAATAAAAAACAACAAGGGTCAATAAACTTAAACTATTTTCAAAATTGTTTAGGTGCTGATCAAAGGATAATAAAATAAAAAACATGTCTTATTTACTTGTTGTATGTAATCAAATCATATTTATCGTATTTATATTTCAATCATTCATTAGTCTTTAATCATAAATTAGTTACGTTTTTGACGCAGTAAAACGATTTAAATATAGGATAACGAGAGTAGAATAACACGAGATTTAGCGACAACTACTTTTATGCGACCAGCATCATATTTGTTGTGTTTCTAATATTGTTCGTATATAAATACTTAACACCGTTCTGGTTGAAACTAAATTTAGTGACAGCCACGTTTTTGCCAACGATACTTGAATGACGTGTTAGTGTACTGCAGTCAGCAACATAAAAGTCTCAATAATATTTCAGCACATTTTTTAATATATAAATATCCGAAAAGGTATTCTAAAAGGTATTTCTTTACTATATAGAATAAATGGTTTTTATCAAGTCAAACGTCTGAACTGATTATTCTGTGGATAAAGGTGTAGAGGTAAATTAACGTCGAAGTGAGTAGGAAATAACTGACGCCCATAAAATACAACGAGAAGTAGTCAATCTGGAGTTTTAACTGAGATGTAGGTGGTGAATTGTCGCACCTCTTCCTTATGATAATATCTAATTAAAAATACCCCCGCCGCAGCAAACCTGCCGACTAAGCGAATTTCCATTTGTCTGAATTGATTTTCAGTTAAATATATTTTAATAACATTAGGTTTAATGAGTACCTAGGTTTGCTGCTACAAGGAAACTAATAAAGTGTGTTTTTGAGTAAAATATTGATAGCTTAGTATAAAATAAATAAATTTGCCAAGTCTGATCAAAACATATTCATAAACAAGCAAACTACAACATTTGGCAATATTCTCCATAAGAATAACATGGGAATTTTAAATTTACAATTTTTTTAATTTTCTCCGTTACTAATAATTGAACAAAAATACTTTTATATAATAAATTATTTGTTTTTTTAAGCTCTTTAAAAAGGTCTAAAGAGAAATTGAGAAATTTTGTGTTTTGAGGGTCAAAAGTGAGAAAACCCAATTTTTACCCCATAAAACCCCCCGTAAAGCCCCGTTCCCATGGTCCGATCGTGCTGGTTCGCGAACTCATTCAAGTTTATCCCGCTTTACACCTTTAAACCAAATTTCATCAAAATCGGACAAAAATTACTCAAGTTATCGCGTTCACGGACGTATATATATATATATATATATATATATATATATATATATATATATACATATATAAAAATTTGAACGAATAGTGTTTTTGGCCTCTGGGGACATCAAAATGAAAAAGTAAATCGGTCCCGGGTCTAGGTCTTACCGTGCCACCTACGGTAATAGCTACTTCCTTATAGGGAAATTCGCTAAAATACTCAAAGTCTTAGTTACATTTTTTGATATTTTAGTTGATAGTATTTTATTTGCCAATCATACGTGTGCATTCATTAAATAATTTTCTTCTTAGATCCTAAACACTCTAACATGTTTAAAGATGGAACTCTCATCAGAGCAAAGTAATTAGCATAACTTATTTTGTGTTGGATGTAAAAAAACTTACACTCGTCAACCTCAACTTCCAAACACAGTTAATTTTAACTGGTTTAGCATAACAAAGATTATTTAAGATATTATAGATAGCTAAGCTAGGCAGATATAAAATACAAAATACGTCAATATCTTTGGATAATTTAATAAAAAATATCTTTGTACACATAAGATAAAAACAGCATGAAAACATCTGCAGAACAACACATATTACATCATTGAAGCTCGTAGAGGACATTAACATTGCATTACAGTAGGCTGCTAATGAGAATGTTCATTAACCTAGCATTATGAGTGCTGAGGGACCGGGCCATCTCACATGACACAGGCTATAGACAAGCTGGGCTGTGAGCTAAGTAGGGCTCTTATTAGCTCACAGTGTTGCTTGCCTTTGTAAGTGAAATGCATCACTAAGCTCATCGGTGTAATGGTTTAGAATTACATGAACAAATAGGTCACAATTACTTGTACTCTGAAATTGGGTAAAAAAATATAGTCAATAACTCCTTTAAAATTAACATAATTATTTAGTAAAAATGTAAAAGGATAGGAGGGTATCAGTAGGCCTATTAGGTAAGCCCTTTATGAAATATAAACTTGATAATTCCAATAGTTTCATATTAAACCCTTTATAAATATTGAAATAAAATATATTTACTGGGATACGTTGGGAACCTGTTTTCAAAATTATTACGTGTTTAAAGCTCATTGTCAGATTTAAAATATAGGCCTACATGCATGGACCAAATTGAAAAAAATAAAACTAGGGTTTTAAACTAAATTGTAACCTAATACCACTATAAACTATATCACGACATCGCACGGCATAAAAGTTTGATCAAAATGTTTTAACAACACTTTTTTTTTGTTTTAGTAGAATCTAAAATCACAACATTTTAAGTAAAAATATCCTATTTTATCTCGATAAGTAGCTTTTAACAGTTTCAGTAGTTATCATATATCACAACATTTACAGTTCAAAAAAGAGAATATTTTAATTTCTTTTGTCGTAGTTTTAAATCAAGCTTGAAATACTGTTCCTTATTTTATTATTAGAGTCCATTACGTTGCACTGCAATAAAAGATGTATTTCTTAAAAGAGATAATTTATTCACAAATTATTAAGATTATATATTTACATGTCAAAACATTTAAAATATATTTACACCTTTCACCTATTATCACAGACATTACAATTCAGTCAGCACCGTGTTAGATCTAGGAGGGTGTCTGTCTCCGTTGTGCACCAGTAGACTTACACTTTCCCTCCGGTTGTTGGTGGTGGGGGGTAATACAGTTCTTGTGGTCCCTTCCTCCGCCACACTCCTCCCAGCGTTACTACTCCTACCACACTTCCACGGCAGCAGTTGCATCAACTCTTGTCTGATGTTGGAGTTCATCCAGCCGTACATGACGGGGTTGGAGACCGCGGAGGACATGGCGATCACGTGACATACGGCCAGTGTGACGTAGAGAGACTGCGAGGAGTCGGGAGGTGATATGACCTCGGAGGCTAGAGAGAAGACACCCAGGGGAGTCCAGCTGACAGCGAACAGCACGGCTACCACTGGAACATGAGATGAGTAGGTTATATGGTGTGGATTGATAACTTATAGATCACGTGACATACGGCCAGTGTGACGTAGAGAGACTGCGAGGAGTCGGGAGGTGATATGACCTCGGAGGCTAGAGAGAAGACTCCCAGGGGAGTTCAGCTGACAGCGAACAGCACGGCTACCACTGGAACATGAGATGAGTAGGTTATATGGTGTGGATTGATAACTTATAGATCACGTGACATACGGCCAGTGTGACGTAGAGAGACTGTGAGGAGTCAGGAGGTGATATGACCTCGGAGGCTAGAGAGAAGACACCCAGGGGGGTCCAGCTGACAGCGAACAGCACGGCTACCACTGGAACATGAGATGAGTAGGTTATATGGTGTGGATTGATAACTTATAGATCACGTGACATACGGCCAGTGTGACGTAGAGAGACTGCGAGGAGTCGGGAGGTGATATGACCTCGGAGGCTAGAGAGAAGACACCTAGGGGAGTCCAGCTGACAGCGAACAGCACGGCTACCACTGGAACATGAGATGAGTAGGTTATATGGTGTGGATTGATAACTTATAGATCACGTGACATACGGCCAGTGTGACGTAGAGAGACTGAGAGGAGTCGGGAGGTGATATGACCTCGGAGGCTAGAGAAAAGACACCCAGGGGGGTCCAGCTGACAGCGAACAGCACGGCTACCACTGGAACATGAGATGAGTAGGTTATATGTTGTGGATTGATAACTTATAGATCACGTGACATACGGCCAGTGTGACGTAGAGAGACTGTGAGGAGTCGGGAGGTGATATGACCTCGGAGGCTAGAGAGAAGACACCCAGGGGGGTCCAGCTGACAGCGAACAGCACGGCTACCACTGGAACATGAGATGAGTAGGTTATATGGTGTGGATTGATAACTTATAGATCACGTGACATACGGCCAGTGTGACGTAGAGAGACTGCGAGGAGTCGGGAGGTGATATGACCTAGGAGGCTAGAGAGAAGACACCCAGGGGGGTCCAGCTGACAGCGAACAGCACGGCTACCACTGGAACATGAGATGAGTAGGTTATATGGTGTGGATTGATAACTTATAGATCACGTGACATACGGCCAGTGTGACGTAGAGAGACTGTGAGGAGTCAGGAGGTGATATGACCTCGGAGGCTAGAGAAAAGACACCCAGGGGGGTCCAGCTGACAGCGAACAGCACGGCTACCACTGGAACATGAGATGAGTAGGAAATATTGAGTAGAATGCTCATATTTGGTCGGTAATAGGAATGTACACAATTCAGCGATTTTCTTATTGAATATTAATTTTAACGATTTTTATCCTGCATGATGAGAGGTTAACTGCAAGAAAGGACCATGAGGTCCTAAGTTCACCTCAATAAAGAAGGATTTTAATTTTATTCCATTATCATTTCATGCCGGTTAAGAATGAAAAGTTGCAACGCTGGATACCTAGTACCAAGAATGTAATAGTTTTCTGTCTTTCTCCTTCAAAAAGGGGCATTTATGAATACTCATAATACATTGTCTTAGCAGGTTGAAAATATTTTTCTAGATTCCTTGCGCTATTTTTCTCTTTTTTATTCTAGGGCGTGGAGTAGGTAAATCGAAACTTTTTTATCAGCCTTTTTTGTCATTGCCAGTTTTTATTGAACATTAATCTTTGATCACCTTTTTCTACTCCCGTTCCAGAAAATCATACAATTACGAAGAAAATTTTTTTCGGCATTTTAATTTCCAACCTAGGTGTTTAAACATCTTGTTCGGTTTTTATGGGCTTTCTTTATACTTTTAAACCATATTTTAAAAGCCTGTATAGTTACATTAAGCTTCCTACAGTCCTAATTGCATCTCAAAGACGTGGCAAACCGTAGTATCTTCAAATCTTGGTACAACATGTTTAAAAAAAGTTCTATCTCAAAAAAGCCTCAAAACTGTTTCTTTTTCACTAAGCAAGATAACTTATTGGATTGGTATGACTAGGTTACCCGAGAGCAGCACAGTAGTCCTCTTGTTCCTCGCCAGCTCGCGCTGCGCTCTCCGCGAGTCCCGCTGAGTCTTGGCGTGCGCGTGCAGATGTGAGGATATCCTGGCGTGGACCACGACCACCACCAGGGCGGGGATGACGGCTTGTATCAGCAGAATACAGACAGAGTACAGCAACTTCAGTTCTTGCGAGGGCCAACTCTCTATGCACATCTCGTACAACACCACCTCCTGGAATTTGAATGGCTCGACCACCTAAAAATTAGGATTTTAGTATTTCAACGAACGAGTCTAATAGTTGTTTGACATAATTAATACAAATTTGTATGAATACGCACTTAATTATTAATTTGGTTGGTCAAAAAGAAATCTTGGTGATCAAAACTTGTATCAAGCCTATTTGCATGTATTAATATTTGGTAAATGGGCTTTTACTGAATACCCCATATAGTACTCTAAGTAACCTTTTCTGAGGTGGTTAGCCGAAGTACACAATAAAACCAATGTTATTTAACAAGGGAAAAATCTAAAAATCTTAAGGACGTGACTCAGTTAAAGTTAAGCCAGAACATTCGAAATTCTTAGTAAAACCCAATTATAATATTTTAATGCGTTACAAAAAAAATGCTGCTTTATACTTCTTAAACACGGTAAAACTACATCCAGCCCACGAATACGTACTAAAGAGAAAACTACAATCCAACTTCTACAAAACGTCAAGTATTACCTGTCAAAGTTGGGTAAAGTACATGTTTTCGTTCTGAAAATACTTGAACTCCGTTCAATTGTTATTTCTTTAAACACTTATCAAACAAACTCCCTTCAATTCTACGTCAACTCTCATTAGGTACGGTACCTCATATTTAAATGTAAATGAAGTAGCACGGTGAGTTCTAAATACACGATTTACTCTGCTCTACCTTATATTCAAACCACTTCACTTGAAGTTAACATATCACCAACTCAGTCTTACTTGATAGAAGAATATCGGCAGAGTAGCGCCTAGTGAAAGTAGCCACACACAGACAATGGAACACACGACTCTGGCTCTATCTGTGCCGTTGTGTGTGTGAACAATGGTGAAGTAGCGGTCTAAAGCGATCACTGTGATAGTCCCAACAGACACTAGGATGTTGGTACCTGTGGACAAGAGGTGGGCAAATTTAAATATCTTTCTAAGGTATTAAAAACCCTCGATATTGTAAAATTTATTATTTTATAACTTAATAATAAATTGTAATGCAAATCTTTTCCGTTCTAGAAGCAAATGTTGATGACAAATTTGATTATATAGTAAATACATAATCTATGTCAACAAAACATTCAAAAGTAATTGTAATGATATTATTTCACGTATTTGACTTGAATCTATTTTTGTAATGCAATATACTGATTATTTGAAACACTTAAACAATCAAAAGAAAGTCCTAACATTTTGGGAGATTCAAATCCATATTATGAGAGGGTTATGATTTGGTTAAACATGAGGCCTAACATACTAGAAAATAAATCAACGATTCAATGAAAACTTTATTTTTTAATAAACTGACTTGAACTGAAACTGACTTAACGACCACTTAAATGGTTAAATTGTTTTATTTTTGTAGTTATAACATTTTCAATCGTTATCCAACTTTGACATCCTAAGTATTAATGCGATCTGGTTACATATTTGACCCAAGTGCAGGACTAAATACTTCTTTTGACTACCACAAGAAGATTCTTAAATCAAAACAGTAAAAAAGTTGAAACCTGCCACATTTCCCTATTAACCGTACCAAGTAAGACAGGACATTTAAAAACTGAATAGTGTCATGTTCATACCTTGCAGTACAGGGACGAGTTTACACAGCAGCTCCCCCATGTCCCACTGACGTCGGATTATCTTGAGCAGTGTGAAGGGCATACAGATGACACAGAGGGTCATGTCGGATAAGGTGAGGTTGACGATGAACAGGTTCCTGGCGGTGTGCATCTGAGGTCTTCTGGCGACCACGAAACTGACCACAAGGTTGGCGAAGAGCCCGAGGAGGATGAGGAAGGAGTAGACGACTATCAGGACATACTCTGTCACCTGTAGAGTGCAGACAAGATGAATGAGAAGAAAATGACTGATCTCTTAAGTGGGAAGTTGTATGGATGTTTAAAAATGTTAAGGATAGAGTCAAGGTTGAAAATCATGGCTTAAAATCGTAGCTACAGCAAATAAATAAATAAAATAAAAATAATAAATAAAAAGGTCTATATTCATGAGTGAATTTCACTAACAATACTGGTTTACAAATTGACTCAAAACAGGACTAAAACTAAACAAAAATTCTTAACACTACGAAACAAATAAAAATTTGTTTATCTGTTTGTCACCAAGAAATGGCATAACACTGTACTTTCGTTCCAATAGATGATATCTTATGTGTTTCAATGAGAAATTTCGGTTTAAGATTTCACAGAAAGTTGAGCTGGATAAATTCCACCCCTTTACACTAATTGTCCAAATAAATGTTGGGACCAACTCTTAGTCATTCGGAACTCCTGCAACCTCTAAATTGGAGTGTTGAGCCCCGGGTATGCTTAACGGATATAATAAGCAACCAACATATTGGTTCCTAATTTGTCATTGGTCATTGATCGGATCACTTTGGTTGTATTAGCAATTCGTATAACTAGTAAGTTTTATTACAGTGTACTTTTACTGACTTAAATGTAATAAAAAAATTTATATTGTAGAGAAATACCAACAGTACAAATACTTAATAGAGCAAAGGTTACATCAGGTTATTCTTATGTAAAGGACATAAAAAGAAGAAAAAATACAGACTTTTAACTAAATTGATTGATGCTCAACCGATGCCTTTACATTAATACTTATATAAGCAAACCTTGATCGAGAATAAAAAATAATATTTCCTGGAAAATAATGTTTAACTGAACTTCAAAGTAAAGCAGAAAGAGCGTGCGTAGGACTTTGTGCAACCAGTGTAATTGAAGGACTTGTCCACTTCATTAAAGCTTGATCCTTTTGACGATGAAAAACTAGTTGTTGATGTTCAATGCTATCAGTTGAGATTCACAATAAACTGATCGATTACAAGTTTCGTTTGTTTTAACCAGAACACTGTTGACCTTTCACAAAACATGACTAAATCGGACCTGGGGGGGGGGGGGGAATCCAATTATTACTTTTATTGATATAGCCATTAAAAATTCAAATTTTTTAAATTTATATTTTTTAAATTTATCAATAATTCACTAGAAATAAAATATTTGGTTCAAGTATGGATTTAAATATAATGGTATCTACTTCATTAGAGTTTTAATAACACTTATCATATGAATCCAAACGCGTTATTTCGTATCGATCTTTTTCTTGTTAATACATGATACCGAATTCCAAATCGTTTTATGTAACAGCGTTAAAATCATAAAAAAATACTTTCATCATTATTGTTTTCACACAGTTTGTCAGTACAAATTTATTATTTGAATTGACAGACTTGCTAGGATTAAAACCTAAAAGTTCAAAGCTGTTAAGATTAAAGATTTTATGTCTTAAGAACACTCTACTTATTAACTTTACGAATTTACTTATTTATCAGTATACAATTTAAAGTAAATCTTATAGATGATTATGTTTGATACCATCAATAAGTATAGTCACACTATGATATTTCCAACCAAGTATTCTAATAAAGGATTAATACAGTGTAAATAGTTAAAACATAAACTTTATAGCCAGCAATAGGTAATTTACTAAACATACCAACAATTAATACAATTACTGTAATTCGATTTTAATTCGTTTAAAATTTAGTGGATTTTATACCATGAAAGTAGCTTATAATAAAATCTATAATGTCACCTTTATTTATTTGTTATGAAATAACCCATTTCAAATAATAACAATAAAATAAGACAGGCTAAATTTAATAGAAATAGCATTGGCATACTGATATACGACGTAATACGAGCTTTACGTAATTTCTAAGTCTATCTAGACAATCAAAGTAAAATATTGTTATCCTAATTGAAAATGTAAATGATGTTTACGTTGACGACATTTCAAATGAAATCTGATTCGGTTGAGTGTTTGTAAACAAGTTGATAATTGGAGAGTCTAGTGCATTTCAGTGGATCAACAATATAACTCATGACTATATTGTTGTTTTCCCACAATATTACAACGAGAGTTTTCATACTAACTGCAATATAAAACTTTTATTTCCAAACAACGCGGTTGAACTTTTAAAGCGTAATTGTCAAATATGTCTCTAACGAAGTGATAATCCTTAATACTATTTAACATTCAACAATTTCTCTTTTTAGTTAGTTATATGTTTAATGTTTAGTTAAACAAACAATAGTTATTTGTGCAACTAGTGAGAAAAGTGAGCAATTGACTCACTCGAGAGAAATCCTTACTCACGAGCCGTAGGCGAGTGAGGAATGGTTTCTCGAGTGAGGCAATTGTACTTTGAACTCGAGTTGCACATTATACTTTTCCTACAGTTACCATAAAACAAATAAATTGGTGAAGAAACATAACCTATTTTTACACAGAAGTGAACTTTTAATATAACATTTAATGTGAAGTGACAAATACAACAGTACAACAGCTGACCAGCTGATTTACAGCCAGTGCTGCCAACGTATTTCGCGCGCATACGACGTTGCCTGCATGTTACGCGCTCACTATTTCGTGCATTTACGTTGCAAATCTGGAGTGAGACAAAGCAATTATAGTGAGACAATGTTGCACTGATGAGCGAATTGGCCACTTTGCTTTCTCAAATCAGTGAGAGAACATGTACATTGTTAGGTAACTGTAGGAAAAATATATTTTCCCACTGGGAAATGGAACCAAATATTCTAACCTTTTTGATATAATTAAGCATTCACTGAAATTGTAAAATAAAATACGTGTTGTCCATGCTAAACCAGAGGCAACACTTAACTGATCTTTAAGTGGAAAGAGAACTCTGAAATTAGAATAGCTGTTATATGCTATATGCTAGATGCCATTTGTCATTAGGCTATGAATTAATGATGCTATCTAACAAAAAGGTCGACGTTAGATAGTAACAAGACCAGGGTTTGGGCCGTTCCCTTTCAAAATGTAAAAATGCCATTGGCGTAAATACACACAAAATAAAAATTAAATAAAATATTCTTAAAATAACCTTTAGCTGCATAGTTCATAGATCAATCCCTGAAAATACAAAATATACTCTAACAAAATGGTTATGTTTATTTCAGATCTCGCAGAGAAGAAAGCTAAACATGTTTATTTAAATATTAGGTGATTTTCTCTCAACACCGGAATAATTCAAGTATGCTTCTTTGGTTGGGAAGGAAGTTGATTAGATAGAACAGAGTGACAAGAGGGCCCTAGAAGAAAAGGTATGCGAATACTGGTAACACTATCTTTGGTTTAGGCCCAGTAGGGCAGTTGTGGGAGGGGGTGTTTGGAATTAGAAAGAAATGTAAGGCGAAAGAATCAAATTTGGTTTTGGATTGAACTAGGTCATGCGTGAAGAGTGTTTTGTTTGAATATCCATCATATTATAACTATCAATCGCGATGGGGACGCAATCTAGGTGCATATTTGAACCAAAATATGAGTGAAGGATGAGTGTAGAACAAAGTAAGATCATCTGTCTAGCTTTATTGACAAAGTTTGCTGTTTTTTTTCTACTAGCCAAGATCATCACTAAACCCCAATGATCAGCTAGGTCCAGTTTTGAACCATCAAAAAGCTGCAGGCTTTTCTCAGGATCAATCCGGTGACCTTTTCATTGAAGGCGAGCTATAACCACTTGGCTAAACAGCAAGTAATTTCTTTGGATTATTTTGTTGGAAAATGTTCAGTTTGCGTGTCATCCCAGATATTGTATGAACGATGGAAGTATGTATTGATTTGTATTTTTCATACACTTAACAGATTTTATCTAACAAATTGAAGTAATTTTACCTGTCCAACATTTCTGTTGCGTCTCTGATGCTCGATGAGGATACCGATCGCCTCGTCCAGGCTGAAGTTGAAAGTCCCATTTAGTTGCATGGAAAGGCAAGTTTTGATACTGCTGATGCCCCGGATTTCACACAGCATTTGAGAACTCCGATCATTGTTCATCCCTTCCCGCCATTTCTGCTGGAGCCATCTCGGATGGCGTGGAAAATGGAGGGAACCTCGCTTTTCCGGTGTCAAACTGGAAAATTGTGTTGGTGTGAGTGGTTTTCAACAATGGAATTGTAATACGGGCATGTATTTGAGAATGGTTTTGTATTCTGTAAACACCATGAATGAACTCAAATGTAAAATGTAAATTGGTAAAATCTGTTGGCAATAAATAAATAACTTTAAATTTTTAACAGAGATTCTTATACTAAAACCCTTATATGTTTCAGGGCATTTCTGTAATCTCTTTCTTAAGTTTTATAATGAATTTTTTTTTACCATAAAAAAAAATAACAATTTAAGCCTTGTGAGCGATATTGAAATCTTAAAAAACCGCATACTTTTTTGTATACCACATTTTCAGTAAACTGGTTTTTAACTTAAACATTGAAGGTAGGTAAATATGAAGAGTAAATTGAAAATTCATTTCGTTATTGATTATTTAATTTAAAGCAAATTATATTTAGTTCGCTAAAGTAATTTGACATGTCTATATTAGGTATGCTTGGTGAAAAGATAAAAACAAATTTAATTTAAAGCCGTAGGCTATAATTAGAGGTTCTGGAAGTGGCAAGCTAACGTTTCTTGAAATTAGACTCTTCATTAGTTAAACTTGTAAAGCTCCGGAATTAGGCCTGACTCAGAGCTTCGCTTTAACATCCAGCTTTGCTACCGTATTTCTTAAATTTTCCTAAAACCTTTTAGTAAATAGTCTTCGTGTCAGTAAAAATGGGTACCTTGATTATCAAAATAATAATAGGTTTTAATATTGAAAAAAAGGAAAATTGCGAGTTCATTTCTCATTGAGAAAAAATCTTGGTTTTAATAAGCTTCGCAATCGTCATTGTTAAGGAAAATAGATATTTTATTATTGTTTTCATCGCTATGATGCTTGATATTAACGTAATCAAAATCCTGTTGTCTGTTTAAATAATAAATCCTTTTCAACTGTAAGTGCCTTAGATAAATTTGTTAAAATTTTTTTTTCTGATAAATAAATAATCAACTCATGAAATTAAATTGATTACATATTTTCTCATTGCAATTTAATACATTTCAACATTTTCATGATATCAGATAATTTTAGCTCAACTGAAAAGTCAAAATAGTGGGCAATTTTAACTATGAATACGAATGAGAAGTTAATTTTTCCTTAATTTTTTTATGTTAAATAGATACTATTTATCTAAACTGTTTCGTAGCCACTGGCTAAAACTTAAGCTTATAATGTATACAAACTATCCAAGGTAATTGAGTTTATCACGTGTATTTGACGTTTTAATTATCTTCTCTATGCGCTGATACCGCCCGTGTGAAAACAAGTAGTTCCACTTATTATCACAGTAGAAAAAATATAAAAAAATAGATTCCTCTTTCGGGACATTTTTAATTTAAGAATCTATTAAAACACTGGGAAATATTTTGATTGGAGATATATGTATGAGCTAAAGACGTTTCTTTCACTTAGGCTAAAAGGTTAGGGTTCATAACAATATAATTCTATTTCTAAGGTCACCATGTAGTTTATTATTAGCATTTTGCGCAAGTAAATTTAATTCAAAAACACAATGACATATTCATTTTTATAGACCAAAACATAATTTGATGTCATTCTTTTAAGTCAAGTAGGCCTGAATACTACTTTGAACAGGCTTTTAAAGACTAACCTATGTCGGTGTCATGTATGTTTTGGTGGGTAAAAAAAAACTAACTAGAAACTAGAACTATATCTAGAATGGAAGTCGTTAACAAATTTTAACTTCATATTGAATATTTTAGTTAAAGTGTGTATTGGTCTTCCAATGTTCCTCTTTGCTGAATTAGTAATGAGGTTTTCCAAACCTATTATAGAGTTTTCAATATAAAAAAAAGAGTTCGTATAGTATTCTTTAGTATAGTATTGTTGTATAAATCATAAAAATATTTAGGGTTAGGGCTACTTTATTAACTATTAAGTAGACTATTATTATTATGGAGTGTTTTTATTAAGTAAGGGTGTTGGTATACTAATAAAATATTTATGTAAGTTAATGAACTAATTTAAATATTCTCACGAGTTTTAATAATAAAAATTTGACTCGGTGGACTCAACGTGAGATAAAGTAAAATGTAAATGAGTTTAATATTGTATTTAATGCTTGCCGTGGGAGGATTTCTTTTCAACCCTGAATTAATTATTCTCAGTTCATAATGTATGGATTTATTTAAAGAAAAATGAAAAATTAAAATTGTTTAATTACTATGAAAATGTGGGATTATCCATTAGTAATCAAATTTACGTCCAAGTAGCTAAAACATATGGTATTTTATTTGAACCTATTTTCTTTTCTTTTTAAAATTCTGTTTCAATTGGTTGAATTTATTTTCTACAATTACAGTCGTAATAATAAGTCATTATTCAGCCAAATTAACCAAATTCAACTTGATTATCCATGTCACAATAAACAAATATAAACAGAAGTAAAACTAAAATACACAACTTCTTAGGTAGTAGCATTTGTAAAACTATTTACAGGTTGTGGCTACCAGCCGAAAAATCCCAGACGCTGCTATATACGTTATTTAGGAATACAGTATAAATAATTGTCAATGTATTTATCGTATTAATTAGACCTTACTCAGAAATCAAATTTTTCGTTTGTTCGACAAACACAATAAAGATAATAAATATTTACCTTATTTTTTAAAAGATCCATGTACTTACCAAACATTTTGCCTGGCAATTTGTAGTCAATTTTACATTAACTGTATCTGGAGTTAATATTACAATGATATGACGATACATTTTATAAATATATATTTTTATTTTTATTTTCTGTTGTTTTCTTTCATTGGGTTGATGAACTGCTCTCTTTACTAGACTAATGTATCAAAGCTCAAACTATAACAGTGTAGCTATAAGATAAAAAAATTCAATTTTTAAGAAGTTTACTACAATTTGACTTGAATTAATTTTGTCTCTGGTTTACTAGAGAGTACTAGATTTAGTTTTTTACCCTTTAAGACTGTGCCATAACATGGTGTTTTGAAGATTTTTAGAGCGATAAAGCAAATGAATAATGTAGGAGGCTGTAAAATATGTTTTAAGAACAGGCTGAGTATTCTTTGGTTGCTAGCGAGAAAAGATGTTGCACATTTGGTATCAGTAGCAAAGTTGTTGTCACTGCTGTTTATGAAAAAAATAACTAGTTTTTATCACTCTTAAAATAAATATCCTTGAAGATTTTATGTTGTAAATGTAATCTAACGCATTTTCCTTTTCTCTGGATTAAATTTACACGAGTTGTTTTATGTGCTAAAAAGATTGTTTAACAACTTGGCAGTCAATCAATATTTTGTTTAACACATTTAGACAATACGCAATACCTTGTTGCTATACGATTTCAACATGTTGAAAATGTAACCTAAATTTCAATGACAAAAAGAAACTGGTTTTTAAATTGCTGTAAATATGCTAAAGTGCATTATTTTAACATCAATAATATACCTTTAGGCAATAACAAAAACAACTATCTTTTTGTCATATTTTACTACTACTATGACTAGTAATCTTTAAAAAGTCAAGTTATAAAGTGAAGTACAACGTCACATCTCATAAATGTGTCTTATACCAAATAATTGGCCCTCACCATAACTCAATTGCTCACCACGACATCTCTAACAAAGCTATTATTTGTCCGGATGTACTGTGTTCGTCACTTTCAGAAGGATGGATCGTTTTCTCTATGAAAAATACCTGGTTTATAAACTGTACTCCTTATGTTGTAGTCAATTTATAGAGCAAGATAATACCAGTGTTTTAATATGTTTGAATATGTAATGTATACAATATGTACTATAAGATATGTACAAATGTTCATATATACAATATGTACTATTAGAGATCCAAGTCATGTTTATCTGTTAAGTCCTCAACAATAATTAAAGTTAGTACTACAGTTGTGGGAAAATACATCACATAAAATAACGATGTGATAGCATTATTTTAGCTATCCTTTATTCATATTATCACAAACCTAAAACCAACCCATTATGTACACGTTTAAAACTGATAAAACCGATTATATTATTATTATGTTAAGCTAGGTAGAAAAATTACAGCTAAACTGGAAAAGATTGAAGCATATCAAAAACACGATCAAAACGTAATATCTCCCGTTCAGAAACACCTGGATCAAAACGAGAAAAAGGAAATGTATCTGTTATTGCTTGATAGAAAATGAAGGTTCCCACCGTCATTGCTAAGAAATGAGATATTTTTAGAAATTAAAATAATAAGTCAGTTCATTTAAATCTTAGGTACTCTTATAACGTATTTTTTTATTTATTTATATTTGGAGGGAATCGAGCTACTGCATAGCAATTACAATAAATTATATTTTTTCACTAGATAGTTGCTGTAGGTGAGTAATGAATGCTTTTAAAGTGTGCGAAGAATACAAAATTTATAACATTTCAAAAACAATAAAAACGTTCAATCAACCTAGGGTGGTGTATGTTATAATCTAAATTAACAGTAAAAATAATAGTGTTGCGTTCTGAACATGTTTCCATAATTCCTCAATTATTGTGCATTTCTAAACATAGCACTTATGGTTTTAACTATTAAAAATACCATTTAGAAAGATAATTTTTTGGAATATAATTATTTTGGTAGCTGTTTTGAGTTTTGATTTTAAGTTTGGGATTGTACTCTATATAATCTCGAGAGTAAAACTAGTAACATCTCTTAGATCATGTTTAAGCAAAACTAAATGTTAGTTATGTAATAAATTAAAAACATGTTAATAGAAACGATGTCCCAAAGAGTCTATTACTCAGTAGTAATAGACTACCACCAAGCAGGTGCAAAAACATAGATAGTGATCACCCTCTAATTATACGGGATTTGACTAAGTTGTTAATAAACAACTGCAAATGGTTAAATATCAAATATGAAGGTTTAATATTTATTTAATTTTATTTCTAGTTTATAGAACAATTTCCAATAGCAAACATGTTTAGGCACCTTTAATGTATTTTTTTATAATT